TTATGTTTTTTTTTTTTTTTTTTTCCATTTCTGGCAGAGCAAGTAGTGACTAAAAATGCTGAAGCAATCTGAAATGGGGAGATGTGAGAGAACTGGACCAAGGCCCTAGTACATCTAAAACAATTGTCACTCATTGTGTTGTCATTTATCTGTGGAATCCATGTTTGAATAATAAGAGTATAATAGTAGAAATATACTACTGACCACCTAGCCAAGGATGGTAATGGTGATTGTGAGATGCTCAGAGAGATTAGAGAGGCTACAAAAGAAGAAAACCCAATAATAATGGTGTATTTTAGCTATCATCATATTGACTGGTTATATGTCACCTCAGGACATGATGCAGAGATAGCATTTCTAGATATAATTAATGACTGCTTCTTGGAGCAGCTAGTTCTGGAACCCCTAAGGGGAGAGGCAAGTTGTAATTTATGTCTAAGTGGCACACAAGATCTGGTTCAAGAAGTGAATATATATGAACTGCTTGGTAATACTGACCATAATATAATTAAATTGAATATCCTTGTAGGGGGAAAAATACCAATGAAACCCACCACAGTACCATTTAACTTCAAAAATGGGACTACAGAGATATAAGGAAGCTAGTTAAATAGAAATTAAAAGGAACAGTCACAAGAGTGAAATGCCTGCAAGCTGCATGGGAACTATTTAAAAACACCATCATAGAGGTTCAAATGAAATCTATACCCCAAATAAAAAAAAAAAAAAAAAACAGTAAGAGGATAAAAAGTGGCACCATGGCTAAACAGCAAAGTAAAAGGGGCGTATAGAGACAAAAAGGCATCTTTTAGGAACTGGAAGTCAAATCCTAGTTAGGAATGTAGATAGGAGCATACATACTGAGAACTCGAGTGTGAAAGTATAATTAGGCAGGCCAAAAAAGGATTTGAAAAGCAACTAACAGCATTTTTTAAAAATACATTGTAAGCAGGAAGTCTGGCAACAATCAATGGCACTGAGGGACAATCAAGATGGACAAATGTTGTGGAGAAGCTAAGTAAATTCTTTGCATCAGTTTTCACTGCAGAGGATGTGGTAGAGATTCCCACACCCGAGCCACTCTTTTTAGATGAAAAATCTGAGGAACTGTCCCAGATTGAGTTGTCAACAGAGGAGATTTAAGAACAAATTGATAAATTAAACAGTGGTAAGTCACCAGGACCAGATGGTATTCACCCAAGTGTTCTGAAGGAACTCAAATATGAATTGCAGAAATACTAACTGTGGTATGTAATCTATCACTTAAATCAGCCACTGTACCAGATGAGTGGAGGATAACTAATGTCATACTGATATTTTAAAAAGGCCCTAGAGGCAATCCTCACAATTACAGGCCAGTAAGCTAACTTTGAAACGAGGCACATTGGTTGAAATGATGGTAAAGGACAGAATTATCAGAGATAGATGACCATGATATGTTGGGGAAGAGTCAGCACAGCTTTTGTCAAGGGAAATCATGCCTCAACAGACTATTAGAATTCTTTGAGGGTATCAACAAACATGTGGACAAGGGTGATCCAGGTGCTATAGGGTGGGCTTTTGGAAATCCTTTGAAATGAAATCCCACATCAAAGGTTTTTAAGCAAAGTAAGCAGTCGTTATAAGAGAGAAGGTCCTCTCATGGATCAGTAACTGGTTAAAAGATAGGAAACAAAGGGTAGGATTAAATGATCTGTTTTCACAATGGAAAATGGTAAATAGTGCTGTATCCCAGGGATCTATATTTGGACCAGTGCTGTTCAACATATTCATTAATGATCTGGAAAAGAGGGTAAACAGTGAGGTGGGAAAGTTCGCAGACAATACTAAATTACTCACTGGTCATGTTATAGTTACTTCATATGAGGGTATTTTATCTCCACTAATGGCTAGCACAACAAAAATCACACGCTGAGGCAAACTTCTACTCGTAGTAATTCAATAGAGATTTCAATGGACTTTCACCAGAGATTGAAAAAGGCAGTATGTATTCATGTTTGGCTTGTCTCCTAGGGCTGGGATGTTGCACAGAATCTTTTGTACTCTTTATTTTTAAGGTGACTCTTTGAAGACCTCCACATTTACTTACACATTTCCAGCAGTGCTTTTGTTTTTCAAAGGACTCAGCTTCAACGGTGGAGGATGTTTAGCAGCAGTAGGCACCAAGCATTTGAGTGGCAGTAGACAGGATGTGCACTAGAGCACAGGGATTCCTGGAGCCCACCACATTCCATGCAACCGGGATGGCAGAATAATCAAAGTATGGTTCTTGTGATGAAACTAATCAAGAGTTAGCAGTTTAAATGTGTGGTCATTTTAAGGAAAGGATAAAAATATTATAGAAAGTAGATGAAACAGGAGAAAGAGCTAACAGATTCTCCTGATGGCATGGCCTCTACCATACTGAGACAATCCTTCACTCTGTGATTATTGTTGCATTGAAGTCTTTTTTGTATTTCTGGAATAGGCAAAGGGAATGTAACCAGGCCTGAGCACAGGGTATTTTGTGATAGGGGCTGTCCATTGGGAAAGGGTAGTTCTGTTGACAGATGTTAGTATGATCATCTCCATTTATTCAGCTGTGATGGGGTGTGCCCGTCACTGCCGGGATGGTGCCTCTTCCTGCCCATTCTGGGTAATAGCTTTCAAGGTTGACACTCCATCCTGCAGTTGCCGCTGTCTCTGTCTCTGTCTCTCTCTCAGTGTCTGCAGCCCCTCTCTTATTCCACAAGCTGCAGCTGCCTCTTTGTAACTCAGCCCTCTGGCAAGGTTACCATCTGTGTTTTCCCCTTCTGCGGTCTTCTCTCAGCAATGCTGGGTAGTCCTCTCATTCACTGCCACATAGTGCCACTCCCTCAGTGGCAGGCAGGGGAACATGGGCCTGCCCTCTACTCCAGGTTCCAACTCAGGGACCCTCTAGCCAGCAGTCAAAGCCTGTGCCCTCTTAGACCTTACTGCCTTTCCCTGAGCCATCCTGACTCCCCCCGCACCCCCTCTGGAGATGATAGTACATTCCTCCACTTCTGCTGCTTCCATGTGGCAGGTTTGGGCACATCTCTACATTTGGTACACATTTCCTCTACGTCTCTTGCTATTCTGCTGTGGTATATGTGACATTATCTGATAAAATATGACCATGTAGGTCATTGTTGCTACCACTGCTATATAATTGCAACAAATCTTGTACAAAGTATGTCAAGTAAGGTGTCTAGGGAAAGGATATGATTTGATGAATATGATTTTGCTATTTGTATGCATGTATCATTTTTGTATTTGAAGTTATGAGTATTGGCTCTATACGTGTATTTTAAATATGTGTGCTCCTGTGGTAATGCCCACAAGGTATTTAGCCTGCACATCTTGAAGGGACTATTCGAGTTGAGTGGCCCATTAAAGAACACTTAACTCACAATGGAAGTTGCCCTTCTACACTTAACGGACTTTCCTGCTGTGACTAAGCGAAATCATGCATGGACATGTGACTTGCCCATGTGACTCCAAACACCATCTTGTCACTTGTCATTTTCCACAGTGAGAACAAATGGGTTTCCCTTCACTTGAGAGGAGCTATAAAAGGCTCTGGAAAGATCTCCATTTTGCCTCTTTCCTACTTAAATCTCTGGACTATGGACTTATACTAATGGGAACATTCTAACCAAAGGACTGAGGACCTTTGAGTGATTTGGAAGCAACCAGTATGTATTTGATTTCTTTAACCAATTTTAACTCTCACCTTTCTTTCTTTTTATAAACAACCTTTAGATTTTAGATACTAAAGGAATGGCAACTGTGTGATTTTTGGGTAAGATCTGAGTAATATATTGACCTGGGTATGTAGTCCTTTGGGATCAGAAGAACCCTTCTGTTTAATGAAATTGGTTTTAAATAAGCACTCATCTTTAAGTCTAGTGCCTGGATGTTGAATCAGGACTGGAATGCCTAAGGAGACTGCTTTTCTGACTTCTTGTTAGCCAGTGTGGTGAAACCAGTTTACTTGGTTTGGTATATCCTATGGGAGAATAACCACCAGTTTTGGGGTGTGTTTGCCCAATTTCTCAGCAGTTTGTTCTGAATTTGGTATTCTGAGTTGTGACCCATGAAGGCACAGTGACACAGCTCCCACTGGCTATGGTTTGCCCCTCGAGGCCAATGTGGGCTGCGGGAAGCGGCGCAGGCTGAGGGATGTGCTGGCCACCGCTTCCTGCAGCCCCCATTGGCCTGGAGCAGCGAATTACAGCCAGTGGGAGCTGCGATCGGCAGAACCTGCAGATGCGGCAGGTAAACAAACCGGCCCTGCCCACCAGAGGGCTTACCCTGGCAGGCCGTGGGCCAAAGGTTGCCGATCCCTGCTCTGGACCTTTATTTTCACATGCAAGTATTTTATTCTGAATCACACACAATTTTGAACCACCTTATACACCTGTGCAAAGACATAAGCAAACATAGGGCTTACCTATGTGGGCTACCAGAAGCACAGGTAGCCGCAGAGAAACAAAGCAGCTTTCACAGCTTTCTCTCCTATGTAGACATGAAGAGGGACAGTCAGAGATAGGATGAGGATAGGTGCAAGTCAATCCCAGAGGAAGGGGGGTGGAAGGAGAATAAGGTACCAGAGAGTGGCTCCAACTTCCTTGCATTCCCCTCCCAGAGACACAATCTGGTTCCTTGTTCTGCCCCTGTGGCAACATAGCCATTCTTTACTCTTTGCTCAGGACTTGTGGCAAAAGCAGAATTGAGTCTATAGTTTATAAGCTCCTCAGGGCATATAATATGTCTGGATTTGTAAAATGCTATGTAAATTTACAGAGCTACATAAATTATTGTAGTAATAACAAAAAATCCTTATTCCTGATGCAGTAATTTAATGAAAACATGACCTCCCAGTTAAATATATTTTTGCTTTTACAAGCTTTGAGCACCTCTCTCCAGTTTGTGAACACTGTTCTTTCAGCTAGCCCAGCTGATAAGCAGGAGGGTTACACTATAAAAACAAATAAACGTCTTTTTTCACTCTCTTTATTCATAGGTTAAAATGTAATGCAATACAGTTCTTAACAATTATTCACTAAAAAAACAAAGGATTTATTTTTGCATAAACCAGAAGCAAAACAGAAAGAGACTAATTAAAAAAGCCATCTTGCTTCAAGTTTTGAAACCATTACATACAGTATTAATATACATATTTACATTACAAGTATATTATATAAATATAATATATATGTAATCTTGTAACCACAATAAATATCAAGAAGGTTTTTTAGGCACACAGCATAGAAAAAATGCAGAATCTGCACAATCATTAAGAGTCTTGGAGTGACTCACTCTTACATCATTTTCACACTGAAAAAGAAAATATTTTACATAAAATATACAGCCACAGCTTAAGCAGTCCTCAGTGAACTGGGGACTCATATTCCCATTAGAAGCCTCCTCCTTGGTTTACTAATACTATTTTTCTATACAGCTGTTACATAAGAAAATAGTTTGCAAGATTTTGTACTCCGCTAATAGCCTAAGTAATTATCAGTGCTAACAAAATAAGTACAGCGTATCTACATAATGTATATACAAATGTGTGCAGAAATACGGGTTTGGTGAACTACTTTGGAGCTCACTTCTAATACTGGGGAGTTACCCTGACATCAAAAAAAGGGATTTTCAGTTAAATCAAGTCAGAAATATTACATAATTTGAGAAATTGCTGCAAACTGAAGTAACACCTGTACTTTATAGACAGAAAGCTTTCAAATTAAATTTTAAAAAAAAATCTTGGCTATCTTGACAGACCTAAGCCATCACTGATTTTTTTTGTGTGGTGTGTATTCCCTTCAACACTCAAGCTAGTCAAGTCCAAAGCAGACTGCAAAGAGTTACAAAAGGGATCTCACAAACCTGGGTGACGGGGCAACAAAATGGCAGATGAAATTCTATGAGAATAAATGCAAAGCAATGCACATTGGAAAACATAATCCCAGCTATACATACAACATGATAGGGTCTAAATTAGCTGTTATCGCTCAAGAAAGAGATCTTGGAGTCACTGCGGATAGTTCTCTGAAAAATCCACCCAATGTGCAGCAGCAGTCAAAAAAGTGAACAGAATACTGGGAATCATTAAGAAAGGGATAGATAATAAGACAGAAAATATCATATTGACTCTATATAAATCCATGGTATGCCCACATCTTGAATACTGCATGCAGATGTGGTCGCCCCATCTAAAAACACAATATATTGGATTTGGAAAAGGTTCACAGAAGGGCAACAAAAATGATTACGGGCATGGAACAGCTTCCATATGAGGTGAGATTAATAAGACTGGGACTTTTCATCTTGGAAAAGAGACGACTAAGGGGGGATATGATAGATGTCTATAAAGTCATGACTGGTGTGGAGAAAGTAAATACAGAGGTGTTATTTACTCCTTCCCATAACACAAGAACTAGGGGTCATCAAATGAAATTAATAGGCAGCATGTTTAAAAGAAACAAAAGGAAGTATATCTTCACACAATGCACAGTCAATCTGTGGAAATCTTTGCCAGAGGATGTTGTGAAGGCCAAGACCATAACAGGGTTCAAAAAAGAACTAGATAACTTCATGGAGGATAGGTCCATCAATGGCTATTAGCCAGGATAGGCAGAGATGGTGTCCCTGGCAGCTGTTTGCCGGAGGCTGGGGTTGGGTAACTGGGGATGGATCGCTTGATGATTGCCTGTTCTGTTCATTCCCTCTGAAGCACCTGGAAATGGTCACTGTCAGAGGACATGATAGTGGGCTGGATGGGCTTTTGGTCTGACCCAATATGACTTTTCTTATGTTCTAATGCAATATAAAACCAGAAGATCAATCCAAAGGGAATTTTTACACTATATGTACCGTCATGATATTTTAAAGACTGTAGCTAGGGGGCACCTGAGATCACATTCTAGTAAGTGAAGCGGACAACTTCTCTTAGAGAGCTAATGTTCAGTGATACAGTATAAACAACAAAAAAAGTAATTTTGTTCTCTAGCTACAAGTCAGACTCGGGCATATCTGGCATATCTGCCATTAGATAGCCAATACCATAGCGTCCATTGGGAGCAGTATCCAGAGTTGGGGATCCAGTCTGTTTCCGGTATATGTTTTTACCAAAATTTGGAGATGGCAGCTCACTTGGAATCTTCCCATGAATCAGACTTGCATCATCTCCCTCTAGATTAACAGGCTCCTTTATTATCCGTCCTCTTTTGTAGGATACAGCAGCCAAACTACCAGAGCTATCATCAATAAGGTTGCAGCGGCGGACTATGAAGACAATAGGGACAGGAAGTATGGCCAATATCATCAGAGATATACAGATAATCATTCCCCATGGTGGATAGCTCAGGAACTCCTCAGTAGCCTATGCGGGCCAAGAGAAACACAATTAATACATTGTTACTTAATAAGAGACAAAGCTTGCAATCATAGGTGCCGACTTCCTCTCTTTCCCTTGGGTGCTCGACCCCCTCCTGCCCCGCTCCCATTCCAACCCCTTCCTCAAAGTTCCCGTCCCAACTCTGCCCCTCCCTGCCAATATTTCAACTCCTTACCCAAATCCCCTCCTCGGCACTGCCTCTGTCCCACCTCCCCTGAGAGCGCCACATTCCCACTCCTCCCCCTCCCTTCCGGAGTGTGCTAACGCTGCGAAATAGCTGTTTGGCGGCAGCTGGAAAGGAAACGCTGGGAAGTAGGCGGAGGAGGAGGGATGCGGCGTGCTCGGGGGGATGGGAGGTGAGGGGAGCTTGGCTGCCGGTGGGTGCAGAGTACCCACTAATTTTTCCCAGTGGGTGCTCCAGCCCTAGAGCACCGACGGAGTCAGCGCCTATGCTTGCAGTCCTAACCCAGGCGAAACTCCTATTGATATCACACATTAACTTCCCCCAAATTTTGATTAGCAGTCAACCCCAGATTTGGTGTTGCTAAGTGAGATGAAATAAGCACTAAGAGTAGTGCTAATGTTGCAAAAAAACCTAGAAAACAGAACATTACCAATTCTTCACTGAAAAACAATATAGCTAGATTTCCCAAAAACTGAGTGTCCTTATCCCACTATACTGGACAATCACAGATTGTTCTATAAAGTAGCTGTTCACTGATATGCTGTACCAGCTTCCAAGGGGAGTGGCCATGAAATGCCTAATCTGAATATTGAGTTCTATGATAGCTGATGACAACAAAGTGGTGAAACAATTGATGCTAGCTCAGTGCCACCACCATGTATTCTGCTTTAATTCAAACAAACAAATGCCATTGTCAGCCAGTGACTACCTTTTTTGGAAATGAAAGAACTAATGCTATATTAAAGGTAATGATGTTTTTGTATTAGTATAACTAGAAACAAAAGTGGCCAGGTTTACCTTTGTAATGAACTATATGAATTGCAAAGTGTCTTTTCCCAGGCTAGCAAAAGTACTTTAAATACAAGTTACATTATTCTGGCAATGGTATATGTTATTACTTACCTTTTCTTCAATCCATGCATTGTAACCAGGAGGACTTAATCCCATTTGGACAATACTACCTACCAGCAAAAATAACAACACTACAGGAGAAATGTACTTCCACATGTAGTAATAATATTGGTTTGGAGAAAAACCAAGCATATCCTTTAGGTCCTCCATAAATCTGGGGGGGAAATGCACATTATTAGTTCAGAAATTGAGGTTTTGAGTGTCTGTAGTTCAGACATATCAGCTAATTTGCAACAATCGGCACACCAATAAAGAGTACACATAGAAATATCTGCATTTAGATCAATTGTATGGGTTTACAAATAGTACCTATATTAATAATGGGTTGAATCAGCTCAGATCAAGTTCACTCAGAGTGCTAGAAAACTTAGATTTGAATACTGATTAAGTCTCAAGCAGAAATGAGTGTGATCCCTAAACAATGTTAGACCAATGGTTAGTCCCTGGTGTGTCACAAACATAGATTAGATTACCTTCAAATAAGTAAGAAACATATTTTGAATGTTGATGAATCATTGTGAAAGACCACAGTGTTCAGCTCAGAAAGATTTAACACTGTTGTGTAGGTGTGACACATTAGAACCCCCCCCCACACACACACACTGTTATGAGCTTTTCCAACCCATTCTTGCAGCTGTGTGCTAGTTCAAATATGCTACCCCAAACCAGTATAAGTGTAAAAAGAAATATTACCCTGAACCAACTCAAAACCTACTGAAGTGTTTATATTTGTGCTGGGATATCTATTTAGGAATGTGCCATTGCTTTTGAATTCACATACAAGTAGGACACCAGAAAGGACAAAATAGGTGTCACAAAACTAATTTGAATTCAAGTGTGCTATATATTATGATAAATTACATTATCAACAAGCTACCGTTTTGCACCTTATCAGTTGTTGACTGACTGTGTGAGGTCTTGATTCTGCCACTGTGCCTTAGTAGTGCAACATATGTTTTGAACCAAGCCTACAGTTTTAGGACTTTCTGATGAAAAAGTACACATACTCCAATGCCAGCAGAAAATGAGAGTGTTAACTTAGAACTGGTTCCTTTTGGGTTTTGTCAGCAAACTCTGATGGCATCTTAACTCCTTTGCTGTTTCATTTCCCTATTTGAATGTTACTGTAACAAAACGTTTCTACTGTAATTAACGTTGTGAAAGAAACGTCCCATGCAAGGTTACTATGACATAAAATCTCATCTAATTCCTGGAAACATACCACTGAGAACATACTTCATTGTGAGCAAAGGACAGAGATAGGCACGTAGTTAAAACCAGTGAAAATAACTGATTTCAAAAATGGCTTTAACCCTTGGTATATAGCTCCCTTTCTCCACCACAGCAAACATAAGCTACTTGTCTTCACTTTTAAGATTTTTCATGTCCTATCGCCACACTACCTATCGTCTCTCATATACTATCAAGATGCCATCTCCTGCCTCTGATCTGCCAATGGTGACAGCCTTCATCACCCACTTTCTTAGTTTCTCCATCACACTTTCTTACGTTCTCCTATGCTGCTCCTCACGCTTGGGAGGAGCTCCACATAAACATCCACAAGGTCACCTCCCTCAAACTTTCCTTTGCTGTGATGCCTACAGAAAACTTGAGGGTTAGGTGCTGTGCTGAGACCGCTGTCTACCAGGCTGATCAATATTGTCTCATGTTTCCTTGCATTTCCCTGTTGATCTGTACCCACCTATTGTCTCTTTTCTTACACTTAGATTATTAGCTCCATGGGGCAGGCACTGCCTTTTTGTACTGTGTTTGTCCAGCATCTACTACAGTATGGTCCTGACCTTTGACTGAGAGAACAACTTTTAGAGAAACATCCAATCTTGATTTAAAAATTGCCAGTGATGGAGAATCTACCATGACCCTTGGTAAATTGTTCCAGTGGTTAATTACTCTCACTGTTATAAATTTACATCTCATTTCCAGTCTGAATTTGTCTAGTTTCAACTTCAAGCCGTTGGATCATGTTATACCTTTCTCTGCTAGACTGAAGAGCCCATTATCAAATATTTGTTCCCCATGTAGGCACCTACAGCCTGTAGTCAAGTAACTCCTTCACCTTCTTTTTGCTGAGCTAAATAGATTCAACTCCTTGAGTCTGTCAGTATAAGGCACTATAATATTTTTCACTTTCATCATTCTTGTAGCTCTTCTCTGAATCTTCTCCAATTTATCAACCTACTTCTTGAACTGTGTACACCAGAACTGGACACAGTATTCCAGCAGCAGTTGCACCAGTGCTAGATACAGAGGTAAAGTAACCTCTCCACTTCTACTTGATATTTTCTTGTTTATGCATTCAAGGACTGCATTAACCCTTTTGGCCACAACATTGCATTGGGAGCTTATGTTCAGCTGATTATCTACTACAAACCCCAAATCTTTTTCCTGCCTCCCAGGATAAAGAGCCCCATCCTATAAGTATGGCCTACATTCTTTGTTCCTTATACCTTTACATTTAACTGTACTGAAACACATACAGTTTGCTTGAGACCAGTTTACCAAACAATCCAGATCACTCTGTACCAGTGACCTCTTCATTACTTACACACCCCCAATTTTTGTGTCATCTGCAAACTTTATCAGTGATGACTTTATGTTTTCTCCCAGGTCACTGATAAAACTGTCCAGGGCCTGATTATTTCTCACCTCAGCTACTGGAATTTCTTCATTGTTGACTTCCCTGACATTTGCTCATGCCCCCTCTAGTCTATGTAAAATAATTCAATCTGTCAAAAATCATATATTGTTCCTCACCCACTACTGTATGTTTATCTCTTCTTGAAATCCTTCCATTGGCTTCCCCTTTCTGTCTAGATCAAATTTATACTCCTCTTCCTTGACTTCAAGGCCTTTCTCATCCTGACCATCTGTCTTACCTTGTCTCTTTCCACTGACTTCCTCTCCTCTTTTGCACTGGTCTAATCAACACTCTGTGTCCCCCTACTACTCATGCTTGCAGGCCTTCTTCCATGCTGCCCCCATAGATTTAGAACCCCCCTCCTACCCTGGTCCAATATATTCTCCAACTCCATCCTTAAAAATGCACTTAACTCAGGAGTCCTACAAGCACAGACTCACCCATCCTGATACCCATAACCTACCAAAAATAATGTACCTACACACACAAGAAAAAAACAACCCCAAGATGAAGGCTTGATTTCACCCTTGAGTTCATCATTCCCCTTCCCTTCTCTGCTTTTGTATTCTGCCTAGATAATCTGAACGCTCTTTGGGGCAGGGATCTGTCTTTACCACATCCATAGGGCTGTTGATCCTATACAACTAAAACAATAACAAGGATAACGATGAACAGTGTCAACATATTAACCATCACAGAAAGGAGCAACTCCATTTCCTGAACTTACTTGTCTATCCCATAAACTTGAGAAATGGCAATATTCTCCAAAATGACCACGATAAGCAGAGGCAGAGTAGCAGAGTAATCATCAAACATTGTGACAAAATAATTTCCAGAGCGCTGCACAAAGATCAGGCCAATTGAAAATGCTACCAGACAGCAGATGACTGGAACAAAGGACAGAAATGAGAATTGTAACCATAATCATGCATCAGAGAAAGAAAGGAAGAAAGAAAGAGTTACCAAACATCAAAATAATTATTGTTTTACTCTAGGTTGACACTAGTTTTCCCTTCTTTCCTTTCCACCTTTGCACTGGCAAAGTAAAGCCATAAAAGGAATCTTAGCCGTTCCCTAGGTAGCAAACAGTCACAATTTGAATTACTAGAATGAAAGGCAGCCCTGACTCAGCAAAGTAAGTTCTTTGCTGAAGCAAGGACTATTTATCATTAGACACTTAAAGTGAATGTAAGGGTAGAATCCAGGAAAACAGAACATTTAATGCAGTGCATGCTTTGTTCTCTCTTTCCATCAACGAAAGTTAAGTGGGTCAAAGTTTTAGACCAGATTTTTCAAAACCAACAGCTATATAGGTTTACTAGGTAGAATCATTCACTGCCACTTCAATTCAGATTGCATTCACTTGCCATGGGAACTATCTGCATTTACTTGCTTTCAAAGCAAGAGCATCACAACCTTTTCTTCTTCTAAAGTCCAGCTGGAAATCTCCGTCCCAAAGTCAATGAAATTCAGTGATGAAAGTCAATGGGATTTCTGCCATTGGCTTCAGTGGGAGCAGGACTGGGCCCTACAACAGTAATACAGTGAGACAAATTCTGCAAAAAATTAGGATTGGCCCCAAAGTGTAACAGTACTCCATAATGGCCACTGGTTATACTCCAGCCAATATATGTATTGACTTAAGTACTGTAAGGGAAGAGAACAATAATCTTGTAAATATGGTCATATAAAAATAAACTTCTCTTTTTTTATCATGTAGCCGCTGTTGTTTACTTTATTAATGTCTTTTGGAAAAAAAGTTTTGAATTAAAGCATTGCAGAAGAAACATCTATTAAACTAAAAAATGGATGTTAACCATAGCATTCAGGGCCCAACACAAATTGACAAAAGCCAGGAAAGTTAGTGTGGAATCTTCAAAAGTGCTCAGCACTGGCCTAATTGCTCCCCCTGAAGTCAATAGGAGTGATCCTAGAGACTTCAGGGAAACAGATTTAGACCCATACAGTGTGCTTTTGAAAATCCCACCCTCAGACTTTAGATTAGCCCTGAATTGTTAACTCTCCCCTCTGTGCCTTCATGTTGTATATAGCCAGAGTATGCAACAATCTGTATATAGAGACTCTGATAAGAGCACTAATGTAACTGAACACATACACCCCAAAGCATTTAAGCATGTGATAAGTCTCAATGAAGGCAATGGAGATTCGAAGATACTTGAGTGCTTTGCTGAATCAGGCCCATAATGCTGCAAGTTACTAATGCAGGAAGACTTTAATCAAAATTGCAGATTTGTGGGTATCTATGACTCTTCACGCTAAATTCTCCTGTTGGTTTTTATGCTGTGCAATTCAACTGGCATTGTATTGGGCATAATCCAGGGTAGAATTTGGAGATTGGAGATCAATTCTGAAAACATTACATTAAATTGTAATCCCTTGAGTCCAACTGACATAAACGGAATCATGGAGGTAAAACCAATGCACAGCACTCAGAAAAAGTGTTAGATTAAAGTAGTATCATGGAACTTTATTTCGTTTTTTATTATTTAAATTCCTAAATCATAACAAAGGTTTATTGTGAAGTGTTAAAATTGTATTCCGTGCCAACAGGGCATTCATATACACATTCAGAACAAGTAGCTAATTTTCAAACTATGTTAATGTTACATGAGTTATTTGATAGGGTTTTAAAGAAGCAAAAGAACGTAAGGGCTGTTTTTCAGAAGTGGTGAGCATTTCTACTCAATGGCTCAGCACTCATGAATATCTGCTGATTAGCCTTTGGGCAAATGGTTAGGCCCTGATCCAGCAAACAACTGAAGCACATGTTTCCTTTTAAGCACTACTTGTTAACTAAGTGGCTTGCATACTGACAGGTTTCAGAGTAGCAGCCATGTCAGTCTGTATTCGCAAAAAGAACAGGAGTACTTGTGGCACCTTAGAGACTAACAAATTTATTAGAGCATAACATTTTGTGGGCTACAGCCCGCTTCATCGGATGCACAGAATGGAACATATAGTAAGACGATATATATATATACACACATACAGAGAAGGTGGAAGTTGCCAGACAAACTGTAAGAGGCTAATTAATTTAACTTCCACACATACAGAGAAGGTGGAAGTTAAATTAATTAGCCTCTTACAGTTTGTCTGGCAACTTCCACCTTCTCTGTATGTATATATATATCTGCTTACTATATGTTCCATTCTATGCATCCAATGAAGCGGGCTGTAGCCCACAAAATGTTATGCTCTAATAAATTTGTTAGTCTTTAAGGTGTCACAAGTACTCCTGTTCTTTTTGTTAACTAAGTTCTCCAAGGCCAGATTTTTAAAGGTATTCAGGCACCTAAGATTTAGACAGGCGCCTAGTGGGATTTTCAAAATTGTATAGGAACCCATAGGAGCCTAGTGCATTGCTGGCTCGGCCTGACTCTCAGTAAAAATGTATTTTTTGTGAATGGTGGGTGCAGGGATGCTATCTTCTTCATAAATGTCTGACATAGGCCATTTCTGGCAGTAGGCTATCAGAGCGAATGGGCAATTTCCTTGGTCCACTGTGGTAGTTCTACAGACTTTTTGAACTGCAAATTTCATTTCACTGTTTATTTCTTTACCTCATTTTTTTCTCTATCCAAAGAAAAGATTAGTAAAAGATGGTTAAGGATGCCCCATTAATCACTCATAAATCAGGACAAGCCACTCACTATTAAGGCTGCATGTGAAACTTCCATTCCTCTTTGTGCATAACTTTTAGCATCTTATATTTATTTTTTTTCATTCTTTTTTGTTTACATTGTCATACTTGTCTATGCTTGAATGGCCAACATTTTGGGAGACTTAAGAATGACTGACTATAAAGGAGCTCACAGTGGAAACTATTATACAACTTGAATTGCAAACAAGAAAAATTCTTTATGGAGCTATGTATGTTGGGGGGGATAGAGAGTACAGACTGGACTGCAGTTAAATAACACTATGCTATATTCCATGGTGTACCTCCTCATGCCAACAAAAACATAAAATACCTCTTATTCTTCTCCAAAGACTTTTCCATCTGTAAGCAGGAGACCTATTTTACGGGGCTAACGAGAGATGAAAACTTGTAAAACTCACCAGTAAGAATTTCTTTCCTCACTTTGAAAGTATCAACAATAGGTGTGATGATTCCTTCAATGGTTCCAAACATACTGCCAAGTCCCAAATTTACCAGCATGAGGAAGAACATCACTGACCAGAAAGGAGAAGCAGGGAAGTGGGTCATTGCTTCTGTAAAGGCAATAAAAGCTAAACCGGTGCCTTGAACAGCCTGTCAATAAGAAATCCACATAAGATGATTAATGGAGACAACAGCGCAAACTGTGAGTCGAAATAATAGTGGGTCAGTATTTATTTACATAATTTTGTAAGCTTGCGTTCACAAATTCTGCCTCCCACTCATAATATTGCATGCTCAGAAATTCTGAAAATTAGGCTCATTATATTTTATGATTTCAGGATCAGTATATCTTGACCATAGCATACAGTCACTCAGTGCAGAGACATTGATTAGGGGCGTGATCCAAAAAATCTGATTGGGGCTTTAGATCAGGCCCATCTGTTTACAGATGAGGCTGTTCAGAAAATAAAGCAACTTTTAGGTATACAACAGGGATCGGCAACCTTTGGCATGCAGCCCGTAGGGGAAATTCGCTGGCGTGCCAGGACGGTTTGTTTCCCTGCAGCGTCCGCAGGTTCGGCCAATCACAGCTCCAACTGGCCGTGGCTGTTCCAGGCCAATGAGGGCTGCGGGAAGCGGTGCAGGCCGCAGGATGTGCTGGCTGCCACTTCCCACAGCCCCAGTTGGCATGGAATGGTGAACCGCGGCCAGTGGGAGCTGCAATCGGCCAAACCTGCGGATGCTGCAGGTAAACAAACCATCCCGGCCTGCCAGAAGATTTCCCTGACAGGCTGCATGCCAAAGGTTGCCAATCCCTAGTATAAAATATTGCATTCTTTATATTTCACAAGAACAGATGGCTAATAAAATACCCAATCATTCAAAATCTTTGCATTGAAGACACAAACATCATTCTAACCTTATTAAGTTCATCTTCAATCAGACAGGATTTCAGGTCAAGAGCAGAAAATTCTTCTTCTTTAACTTTCTGAATGATGTCATAAACTAAATTGTAATCATCTGCTGTAATGCTAGAGAAATTGATATGATGGGGGATCATATCCTGGCTCAGATTGCCTATTTTCAAAAGTTTTAAAATCTTTTCTGAATTTCTGTAAAACACAATGAAATAGTGATAATAAATCAGAAGATTTCTTGTGTGAATTCCTAAGTGAAATATAACATAAAAATGAAGAAAAGAAATGAATATTCATACTGGGTAATGCATTTCTCATTTATGATATTTGCTTTGAAGCCCAGAACAGCAAACACCACCAAAGTTGCCAGCACAGAAGTGAAAAAATTGATGAAGGACACCAGAACAGCATCGAAATGGCAGTTGTTGTCTCTCTTGTTGTAGCTTGAAAAGGCAATGACTCCACCAAATCCAAGCCCTAAGGCAAAGAACACCTGAGTAGCAGCTTCTCTCCAGACCTTGGGCTCCAGCATTATTTCAAGCTGTTTGAAATTAGACACAATATACGTCAGCTACAAAATACAGTACTTCTTTTGTATGGATAGACAACATATAATCCTGTAAAATAACCCACACCAACTAAAATGCTAAAGCACAAATGTAAAATTATTTATCCATTATTAGAACAAAGCTGAATATTAATTATACCATTGGAGGAAAGTATGGGCCAAGATTTCTACTGGCTTACACATGGTGCAAGAGGAACACAATGAGGCACCACTGGCCAGTTAAGATCATTATTAAAATGGTAGCTAGTTGTACCCCGGTATTGGAGGCCACATTGTAGTACGTTTCCAGTTTAACTGTGGATTAATTGATTTGAGCTGTTACTGTTAAGATATTTTGGGGTACATTTCCTTTATAAAATTAAAATAAAGTATGTTGAAGATCGTTTGAATAGCAAAAATGAATTACATGAAGCATCATGTGGAATTTTGTTGTATAAAAAAGAGAGAGTTCTGTGAATGCGCTTACGTTATAGTCTGTGCAGAAAGATTCACTGAGCAGAGTAAACTCTGGCCACTATAACCTATGCTGATATTTGTGGGTCAAATTCTGTCTTCAAATATACACATAAACCTCTTGCTGACTTAAATAGATCACATATCCAAGTGAAAATTTTGGCCCTGCACTGAAAATTGATTGTAAATTCCATTTGCATTGCTTCTTCAGCCAATCCAATTTCAATGAATGCCTTTGGTGAAACTAGATAATTTATACTCCATCCCGTGTTTATCTAGTATCTACCCAATTAGTAGATCACAACAGAATAACAACACTGTATAGTTCTTATATATTGTTTTTCTTCCATAGATCTCAAAGAAGATCAGAAGTTGATGGTTAAGGTGGTCATATTAGATTTGTCTACTGAGATCAAACTGAACCATACCTTCATAAATATGTTATGAAATTGTATATAACATTAGAAGACCTTAATTTTGATGACATACTTTGTATTTAAATGTCATTAGTTTTATAAGAAAATAAAAGCATCAAAATATGAATTGTTTTTCCTTACTTTAAGCAAAATATGCCTTAAGTTACTTTAATACAATTTTAGAAAAGTTTCCAACTTCCTGGAAAAGCTGAAAGATTATATATATTGCATGTAAACAGTAAAGGAGCTATTTTCATAAAGCTAATTCTGGTCCTGGAAGTCCTGACAAATGGATCTTTAGTGTGAAGGTGGAAATATATATTTTTCTGTAAGGATGCACAGTACTTTAATTACAAATGGTACAAACAGATATACTCTACCGATACTTCAAATGTTGTATCTATCACACAATCATTTCTAGTGCTTGCTCACTAGATGGAGCTAAACATACACTCTTAATTCCTACCAGCATGTCAGAACATTTTTTTCACATTTTTATTCACTCTGTTAATATAAAGCATTTTCATTTCAGTTTTTGTGCAGTAAAAGGAAACATTTCTCCACATACTGTGATATTTCTGCCCTAGTAACTGACTTCAATGGGTTTTGAATCAGGCCCATAAGTATTTTGTTTGCTACTCTATCTACATCAAGCCAATGTTCAATTGACAGTCTTCTGGTTATATACACTGCAAACAACATGATCCCCTCCTGTATTTACACCATCACTTGATAGTAAAGAAAATCAGGTTTTGAGACACACTTCTCGAGACCAATAGAAAATATTAAGAATACCATTTTTCTTTAAACATTATTTATTTGAACAATTTTATTACTAAACTCTTTTAATTAAAAAATTATCAGTATTTTAAATAAAACATTATTTGTAATGTACTCACAACTATGTTTAAATCATGATGGGCCAAATCCTGAGAGATGCTGAGTCCCTTTTACTCAGTGGGAGTTGTGGAGCTTAGCGTCCTTCAGGATCTGGCCCCAGAGTGTTTTTATGATTAAAAGAAAGATAGTCTTGTGTTTGAAGCACTGAAATGTAAATCAGGAGCTCTCAGGTGAAGCACTGAACTACAACTCAGGAGCTCTCAGTTCAATTCCTGCCTCTGCTACAGGTTTCCTGTATGACAGTGGGCAAGTCACCTAATATCTCTGTTCCTTGGTTTTCCATCTGTAGAAATTGGAATAAGACTTCCTCACCTAGCAACTGTCTTGCCTATTTAGATGGTAAGCTAATTTAGGGCATGGACTGTCTCTTACTATGTGTTTGTACAGGTCCTAACTCAATGGGCCTAGATCTCAGTTAGGGACTCTTAGCATTACTATCATGAAAGTAAAAAATAATATGATTGCTAACACAGGTCATTTTAACCTATCGATGGTGCTCCTTACATTCAAACAAGGGGTAACATTCTTGTTATTTTTCTCTGGCCACTATGGCCCCTTCAGTTTTATCATATATTATTTAACATTTATCTGTGAAGGCCAGTCCTGCTTCCACTTAACTCAGCTGTAGAACTGACTTGTACAGAAACAGGAACAGATCCCATATGTATTTCTGAGCAGGTAGGCTCTAAGGGCTTGATCCTGTGCCACTGAAGTCAATGGAAAAATTCCCATTAATTACAATGGGAGCAGGAGCAGGCCCTGAAAGAAGGCTGCTGAGTCCACTGTTTTATTATTCAAAGAATTCATAAATGAACAATTTGCCATTGAAGCCATAAGTGTACATTCAATGGAAACTAAGCACATACCTTAGGTGTAAACATGTGACGAATTCCATCCATGGAACCATTTAAGAGCAGTCCTCTGACTAGAAAGCATATAAGTACCACATAAGGGAAAAGGGAACTAAAATACATGATCTGAAAAACATTAAAAGATCATTAAAAAGACATTTATGGCCTTTATTTTCTCAGAGTTTCATTCTCTATAGTCAGTGCCTTTTCATGGTACAATTGCATGACCAAGATTAAATTGTAAGACAGACTCTCTGTTCCTCTCTATGGTGCAGAAAGGAGCAAAAGCAAGATAATGTTACTCAAATCGTTCCCCAAATTGCAGAAACAGTTATAGTACAATATCTGGTCTGGTTCGTTGAACAACACAGAATTGGGGTTCCATGGAAATCCAATGGGTATGTCAGTCCTGATTAGCAGCCATTCTTGGGGGAGCAGCCATTCTTAAGCACTTTGCTTCCGCTTCTAAATTTACTCTGTTTCAGGCAGAAATCATGATGAAGAATGTGTCTGCTTCTTGCAGCATTGTTATAATCTGCAACTTGTACACTCTTTGGGAGGGCGTAGCCCAGTGGGTACACCCCACCAAATAATTTGTACTGCCAAGAAGGAAGGGGAGTCCAAAACAGTATGCAAATGCCCCAAGATCCATGGGGTTTGAGCCATGTTCCATCGGGATTGGACCATTCCCCCTCACCTGAAGATAACATCTCACTGCGCTAGTAGACACAGAAGTTAGTACACTTTAGAGTCCTAGAATACAATCCAGGCCAACTTTCTGAGCCAGGAGAACCCTACTCATACACGCTACAGCACCCATGCAGCTAAGGACCAGATTTTTACCTTACACTTGAGGCCTGACTTCATTTGGTTTTAAAAGCATAAAGCTTAATTTTCTGAGATACGTGCTACCCCTGGTGATAAATATCTTTTCGCTTTACTGTTAACTTATCTGATCTCATAGCGGAAAGAAAACAGTATCCAGTAAGTGAAATGCTATCTTTCATTCCTTAACCGTTCTTGAAAAGGCCAGTAAATTAATTTGGTGCTTGAAAAGCTCAGTAGTTTTGTAATGTGTCAAAACAGGCCACACTTAAATCATTTCTGTTACTGGAATATGCTAAAGAGGCATGTGATAATTCCCAATGATCTGATGTAACATCCTATCACAAGATTTTCTGATTGCAAAGAACGGGGCAGATGATGCTGTCAACCATGAGGCGTCAGAACCAGCCAGTCTTAAGGGCAACTTTTTTTTTCTTATCTGGGGCTGTATGTGGAGGAAAGATGAATTTCCTTAAATTTGGCTAGTATTTTATAATACAGCCTGGCATGACTCAGTCCTCTTGCCTCCAGGGCAGGAGATTATGGGTGGAAGTTCTAGGTCAGTACTTGCAGTCATGTTAAATACAAATTTTGCAGACTCACTTAGGATCAGGAATAACTGGAGGATGAACCTGGGGAGAGGATTATTGCCATTGCCACCTTCTAGGTCCATCCCAAAATGCCCCTCCACAACTTCAGACCTTCCTGCAGCATACCTCAGGTGTCTCCTTTCTAAATGCTAGTTGAGCCAGCCCTACTTACAACCCAACCCTGTAAATATTTACACTCACGTGTAACTTTATTGACTGTTCCAGTTTTAGGCTTTACTGTGATGCATAAAATTTCCACTGAACCCTGTAGGTGCCTAAACTCACTTGGCACCTAAGATTTTCCTTTAAAATTTCCCTAGGCACCTATGATTCTGCCTCTGAGAATGTACACTGCTGCCTCACTCTAGGCGCCTGCATGCCTATCTCCCGCCTAATCCCCAGAGCAATTCACAGATCCGGGGAAGACTTTTTGTCACCTCAGTCATGTGTGGGGCCAGATTGTGGACAGCCTCCAAACACAGCTAATGGTTTGGGCCCCTCAGGCGAGTTTACACAAAACAGACAGGAGAAGGAGGAAGAGGACAACTTCCCTCATAACATTTAGCCCAGTGGTTAGGGTATTCTCCTGGAACGTGGGAGACTCACAGTTCAAGACCCACTCTCCCTGAGGAGGTGAAGGGATTTGAGCAGGGATCTGCCACTGGGCTATGGCATATTCTGTTGTGGGAGTTCTCTCCTGCTGAAGCTGCACACTCTGGATAATTAGTCATTGGCACAGGAGGGCTGGGTCCTCAGTGCTCTAACCACTGGACTATGGAGTCATTTTCATGTTTGTGCTCTCTTTTACTCTCTTGCTGGCCCAAATGACTTTTTGACACACAGAGAGTGCACGAGAGAGTACAAGCATGAGAATTACTCTGTAGCATCTATTGCTCTCCTCCTCCTCCTCAGCAGCAAAAGGGGATGGCTGATAAAAAAGGAACAATCCCGGCTTCCAAAGGGAGCTGTATCCAGCCCTCATGATAAAGGATGTTACAGCAGCATGGATGCCTGTGAGACGGGATCAAAATGATAATGGATCATAAGGACCCAATCTACCATGCTGTAAATAGGCATGGATGTGGTAAGAGCATCTCACCCCTTTATCTGATACATAGAAACATATGCACATGTATCAGTGATGCAATAAAACAGAGGTGAAATTACCTGCATTATTTATATCAAATGAAAACAAAAAGGGTTCTCAGACTTCAGACTCCCTCCTTCTTTATAACCAAATGTTATGTCTACAGTTTTAATGTATAGGTACCAACAATTCTCTACTTGAGATTATAAAAATGCTAGATGAGTCACAACCTTTAGTCTGACCATGCAGATTTTATGAGAGGGCAGGCAAAGGAAGTGGCAAGTAAGAATGTACAGAGAAGTAAAACACTGTAATTAAGATAAAGAATATACTCACTTTGCCTGAAGACTGAATGCCTTTGATCATTGCCAGGCAAACCAGAACCCAGGCAGCCAGCAAGCACAGAGTCATTTTCCAGTTCAGACCCCCACTCTCTGAGAGAGAGTTGGAAATGTTCAGTGCTTCTCTGTACCAGTAATAGGTGGTAGCAGAGCTTTTTTCACACTCAGGCTCCACAACTGGCAAAAAAGTCAATAAATCGTTATTGATCTTTGGACATTGGGTAGAAAGTACCTTCACATTCTTCCAGCAAATCATCACAGCAACCTGGAATTAGTTCTGATATATTTTATTACCATGGTGGCATCATTTTACTGAAAAAGTAAATCCACACACACAAAGTGATTAAAGTCTATTAATATGAAAATATCACAGTTCTAAGATGGAATTTGAGGCCACTGAATGGAAAGTTTTGTATACAGCCCTTGAAAAAATACCCAACTCTATGCCCTGGAAATGAAATCCATTCGTGCGCAGAACACCAACCCAAAGCCTATGAATCACCTAAATCCCATGTAAGCCCTCAAAATAGAGCTTTGAGTCGTGCACGTCTTGTACATAGTTTTCTGCACAAAGCTGAATTCCAGGTTTTCCATTATCATTAGGGAAAATAATGTACTGTAAAGTTATTCTGACATGTGGATGATATTAATTTTGGAATAAATACGGTGAAGCCATTTTCAAACAAGTGTGTGTGATGGGATTACTAGGCCTTCATGGCCCGCCTCTGGAGGCCCCACTGCTCTGCCACACCCTATCCCAGGAAGCAGCACGGTGGGAGGAAAAGGTAGAAAAAGTGAGTCCTCCAGGACTACCTAAAGAGGCCTCACTGTAGAAGCCATCTTGGAAGCTAGAGAGACTTGTCCTCCAATGGCTAGAAGGACAAGCAACAGCCAATCAGAGCCCAGCAGGCTTAGATAAAAGGAGCTGCAGGGCCTTAGCAGATCAATTGCTGGCTGGGACCAGAGGAGTGAGGGAGGGGGTGCCTCTCTGGCCAAAGGAGCCTGACAAGTAGCTAGAGTTTAAGGCTAGCTGCACTTACTCTGAGACTGCAGATATTGGCCCTGAGATAGAGCTGGAAATAAAAGGGCCTGGAAGGAAGAGGCCCAGGGAAACAGCAGCAGAGGATTGGAGTAAGCAGTATGTGGCTGCTGTGTATAGAGTCCTTAGGTGGGCCCCCAGAGGAGGGGATGGGCCCAGGTTCCCTTATGGGCCATTTGTAAAATGGCATAAATGCCAGGAAGAGGAGAGGCCTTATCTGGGAGCCCAAACAATGCACCATATTTAAAGGGCCAAGAGCCAGGGCTGAAGACCCTACTGAGGTGAAATAGACTGTTTAGTTATTGGACTCTTTAATACCTGGAAGGAATTCTTTTGAACTTTTTGACTTGGCCACATGGCCAAGCTACTGAAGACACAGCAAAGTTGGCCAACAGCATGCAGGGGTTCAGCCACTAGGAGGTGCTCAAGAGGTGAGTGCCCTTTTACAGGGTGCCTCAAAAGAATATCCAAATCCTCCATACACACACTCAGTCTGGCAGGTAGGCACATAAATGACTATTTTACAAGTCAAAATAATGATTTAATGATACCAAAGTGTTAAAGCACTCGAAAACAGGGTCCTTATATTGTTATGTTGAACTGAAAGTGGTTATGTGTATTACAGTAGTGATATTTTATAGTACTGTAATGCTACTATGAGTTTTCCAATAATCTTATACTTATCAAACTGTTAAAATATATTTTAAAGGAATTTTTTTTTAAAAAAGACACATAAAATTCACTTACATTTTTAAATAATAGCATTTCTAATCTAGCTCTTGAATCAAAATAGCTTATGGAGGAAAGAGGTTTATTTTAAAGTCTAATTAATACAAAGGGCAGATCCTCAGCTGTTATAAATTGTCCTAGCTCCATTATGGCTAGTACGCATTTTCCTGGCAATTATGAAGCTATGACAACTTATATGAGCTGGAAATCTGCCTCCGGGTATTGAAAAAGCAATAAAAACTGGAAAAGGCTTCATAAAGAAATTATTTGCAACATTTCAAATTGGTTGTCTTCTTCAAGCAGAAAACAAACAAACATCACACACTGAATATTTAAGATAAAAATAAAAAAATCAAAAGAAATGTTTCCTACTTCTAGGTGTATGGTCGGTCATCATGAGGTAATCAAATCCTAGGTATAAGAAGCACTTAGTTGTGCTTCATGATGTGCCAGGATAGGATTATAGCATTATGACTATAAACCAATCGCTAATTCTCCAATTCCTACTTATTTATGAGTCAGACAGGTATTTAATTCACAGGTATTTCACTGATTCTTTTGGGCTGTCTGTTGTCTAACGTGTTTTCATTAGGACACTGAACAAACATGCCACTGAAATCACTAATGGAAAATATAATCCAGATGTTATCAGCGTACAACTATGTCCTCAAAGAAAACATCTTAATGTAGCCACAGGGAGCTTTGACATACAGTATTAAATATAGAAAAGTTTCCTCTGCGATTACATCTTCCATTTGTGGCCAAGTCAAAGTAAATATACAACTCATGATTAAAATTAGAAAAGTATATTTATAGTTTAGCCTATAACTTTCCTCATCAAAATATTTCCTAAGAGGTTAGTATTCAATCAGCCCAGTTACCCTTCAAATGACCTTTTTACATTATTAGGCCTTTTCCAAATTCTGCCTATTTTTCTTAGACGTCAGGTGGGTTATTTTTCTTTTTATGCATCATAACACCATATCTGCCTTATTTTAGGTTTAAAATCTAGTCAGTGTTTTTTTCAATGAGGTAAAGGTAGTCTCGGGACAGTACTGATACCTGTACAGACCAGAAACCTGTCCCTGAATCCTCCTGAATATCTGTGGTTAAAATGTGTTGTTTTTTTCTCTCTCCCCTGGTGCTGTTTAAAAATCTCAGACAAAGGCAAAGTGATAAGTGAAGCATTATATAGGGGAAAGAGGGAAATGGACATGGGCGGCGAGTATAATATGCCAGCTCAGCCTCCCATGGCACAGCCACTGCCTCCGGAAGCCCTGTTGTGGGTTTGGTGGAGGAAGTTTTTGCTTGTTATTATGCCCCATGCAGGTTCTGGGGTGGCTGAGAAGGTAGTATCTGCTACTCAGCTTCCCGGGATCATCAGTAATCACTCCGGAGTCCAGGGATATTATTGATGAACCCAGAAAGCTGAGTAGCACATACCACCTCCTCAGCTGCCCCAGAACCTGCATAGGGCATATCAAAAGCTCACGTTGTTCTTCCAGAAGAGACACGTTTCCTGTGGGATGGCTTGGAGTCTGGGGAGGGGAGGCATGGCATGGCAGTAATGGTTCTGGTTGACGCTGGGCTCCTCTGGCAGGGGCTTGGGACTCTGGCGAGCCCGGGACTCCTCCAGGCAGGTGTGTGGGTGGGGGACTCAGGGCTTCGGCTGGCCCAAAGCTCCTCCGGCAGAAAGGGGAGGTATGGGGGCTCCTCCAGGTGGGGGGGTGGGACTCGGGGCTCCTCTGGGGGGAGGGCAGGGTTGGCTACCCTGAGAGGGGACAGGGGGTCTCAGGGCTCCAGGTGCGGGGGGGGGGGCGCTCGGGGCTCTGGCTGCAGGGGTTGGGGGGCAGGTGGAAGAGGCAGAGCCAGGGGCTAGCCTCCCCAAAGGGGAGCTCCACCCACCATCCATAGAAATGGACTATACATGGCATGCTGTCAAATATGCAAAGCAAAATAACTAGAAAATACACAGAAAATATATCTTTTCTTCTAGTCTCTTTCAGTTACATTAATCTTAGGTGTTACTTAAAGAATAGTAGGTTTAAAAAAAAAGTAGGGCTGTCGATTAATTGCAGTTAACTCACGCGATTAAAAAAAATTAGTCGTGATTAATGGACAATAGAATACCAATTGAAATGTAATAAATATTTGTGGATGTTTTTCTACATTTTTAAAAATATTGATTTCTATTAAAGCACAGAATACAAAGTGTACAGTGCTCACTTTATATTATTATTTCTTATTACAAATATTTGCACTGTAAAAATTATTAAAAAAATACAGGAAAAGCTGTTTTGTCCAGCATGTTGGGAGAATAGGGGGTGCCAGTAAGTGAAAAATTCTGGTTAAATAAGAGGGAGGGAGTTTGGGTGCAGGAGGGGGCTCAGGGCAGTGGCTTGGGGGCCGGGAGGGAGTGCGGAGTGCCGGATCTGGGAGCCACTCACCTCAAGTGGCTCCCTGCAAGCGGTGACCATCCTAGCTGCTCCTATGTGTAGGTGTGGCAGGCAGCTCTGCGCACTGCCTGAGCCTCCTCCCACAGGCGCCGCCCCCACAGCTCCCATTGGCCATGGTTGCCAGCCAATGGGAGCTGCGTTGCTAGTGCTTGGGGTGGGGCATGGCGCCGAGAGCCACCTACCATGCACGCCTAGGAGCAGCCAGGACAGGAGCCCCGTATCCAGTACCCTGCACTCCCTCTCACGCCCCAAGCTCCCTCCCGCTCCCAAACTCCCTCCCAGAGCCTGCGCTCCACACTCCCTCCCAAACCCCAACCCCCTGCTGGCCCCACGCCAACTGGACTATAAACTGGAATTTCAATGAAGATCAGAAATGCCAGTTTATAGAGCTTTCCAGTTGGTGAAGTGCCGGATAAAACAGCTTTTACTGTAGTATTTTTCAATTCACCTCATACAAGTACTGTAGAGCAATCTCTTTATTGTGACAGTGTAATTTACAAATGCAGATTTTTTTTTGTTACATAACTGCACTCAGAAAGAAAACAACGTAAAACTTTAGAGCCTACACCTCAACTCAGTCCTACTTCTTGTTCAACCAATCACTAAGACAAACAAGTTTGTTGACATTTATGGGGAATACTGCTGCCTGCTTCTTATTTACAATGTCACCTGCAAGTGAGAACAGGCCTTCACATGGAATTTTTGTAGCCATCGTTGCAAGTTATTTACATGTCAGATATGCTAAACATTCGTATGCCCCTTCATGCTTCAGCCACCATTCCAGAGGACATGCCTCCATTATGACGATACTCATTAAAAAAATAATGCATTAATTAAATTTGTGACTGACATTCTTGGGGGAGAATTGTATACCCCCTGCTCTGTTTTACCCACATTCTGCCATATATTTCATGTTACAGCAGTCTCAGTTGATGACACAGCACATGTTCGTTTTAAGAACAGTTTCACAGCAGATTTGACAAAATGCAAAAAAGGTACCATTGTGATATTTCTAAAATTAGCTACAGCACTGGACCCAAGGTTTAAGAATCTGAGAGGGACGAGGTGTGGAGAATGCTTTCAGAAGTCTTAAAAGAGCAACACTCAGATGCAGAAACTACAGAACCCGAAACACCAAAAAAGGAAATCAACCTTCTGCCGGTGGCATCAGATTCAGATGATGAAAATGAACATGTGTAGGTCCGCTTTGCTTTGTACTGTTATCGAGCAGAACCGTCATCAGCATGGACGCATGGACACATGTCCTTTGGAATGATGGTTGAAGCATGAAGAGACATATGAATCTTTAGTGCATCTGGCACATCTTGCGATGCAGGTTACAACAGTGCAATGCGAAAGCCTGTTCTCGCTTTCAGGTGACATTGTAAATAAGAAGCGGGCAGCATTATCTCTTGCAAATTGTAACCAAACTTGTTTGTCTGAGCGGTTGGCTGAATAAGAAATAGTGCTGAGTGGACTTGTAGGCTCTGAAGTTTTACATTGTTTTGTTTTTGAATGTAGGTTTTTTTTGTACATAACTCTAAATTTGTAAGTTCAACTTTCATGATAAAGAGATTGTACTACAGTACTTGTATTAGGTGAATTGAAAAATACTCTTTTGTTTTTTTACAGTGCAAAGATTTATAATAAAAAATAAATATAAAGTGAGCACTGTATACTTTGTATTCTGTGTTGTAATTGAAATCAATATATTTGAAAATGTAAAATAATCCAAAAAATTAAATAAATCGTTTAACAGTGTGATTAATAATGTGATTAATCACAATTAATTTTTTAATTGCACGATTAATCGTGATTAATTTTTTTAATCGTTTGACAGCCTTAAAAAAAGTTGTTGTTTTTTAAATGGCAATATCCAAATAAAGGGTCTAACTCAAAGCCCACTGAAATCAGTGGAAAGACTGCCCTTGACTTCAGTGGATTTTGGATCAAGCCCAAAGTGACTTTAAAAAAAATGAATATATCCAAGACTTACAGGTATGAGAAGTATTTTTCACCAAAGGACACTGATCCCATGGCAAGGGGTGCTGAAACGACTGAGAAAAGTAAAACAAACTCCATCCAATTATGACATTGTAGTAGAGGGCCACAAAGAAACATACCTGAAGTATAAAACAAGATATTTTAAAAGATTTATTGAACAACTACATATCATAAGTTAAAGTAAATAAAACAATGAGCTAAATCCAGCACCACATAAAATTGCTATTGAAATTAAGGAGAATTTTGCCTAAGTAAGGAATGAATAAAGGCTCTGTGATTTGGCCCTTGTGGATATATTTAAAGTCCAATACTTTCCAAATTCTTGTTTTTTTTTCTGTGTTTATCATGCATACCTTGCTAATATTTTAGCAGATTCTCTTCCTCCAAAAAGACTAATATTTTTATATATTCGAATATGAGCTTTACGGATTCTGTAAACATTGTGAATTGACTTTGGAGCTAGAACAAAAATTATTAACCTTTGGTTAAAACTGAGCAGAAAGTCCCAATGTATTTCATTGTGATGCTCTGGAGAACATCAAACTATGTAAATTACAAACTTACCACACAGCTTGCAAATCCAATTCCACCGAGCGTGGGGCTGATGTAATTCCATACGCCAATGCTTCCTCGTCGGATTCTCTGGCCCACAGAAAGCTCCAGGAAAAAAAGTGGAATCCCTATTATCATCAGCAAAATTAAGTATGGCACAAGATATGCACCTATGAAAACAAGAGGACATCAATCACTATTAGGATGAGGAAGAGTCTTCTAAGTCAGGGGCTGGTGTAAATTTCTGAAAGGAGAACAAATAATAGATGATACAAATGGCTGAAGTGTTTGAAGTGTGTGTGTGTTTTTTTTTCCTTCAGGCTCCATTGAAAAGATTAATTGTGACTAGATGCTTAACACAATATTAACAAGTGAGAAAGATTACAGACCAGAATAGGGTAAGAACAGGTTAAAGAACATTTAAATAAGTTAGATATCTTCAAGTCAGCAGGGCCAGATGAAACTTACCCAAGACCACTTAAGGAACTAGCTGAACCAAGGTGAACTATTAGCGATTATCTCAGAGAACTTTTAGAGGACTGATGAGGTCCTGGAGAAGAGCACACACTAGTACCTGTCTTTAAAAAGGTCCTGAGGAATTATAGAGCAGTCATCCTAACCTTCATACCCAAAAAGATACCGGAACAAATTATTAAATAATACATTAGTAAGCAGCTAGAGGACAATAAGGTGATAAGGAATAGCCACCATGGACTACCAAGTATAAATCATTCTAAACTACTCTAATTTTCTTATTTTTCTTTGACAGGATACATGGCCTAATGGATAGGGGGAAGCAGTAGATATGATATATCTGGACTTTAGTGAGGCTTTTGACACAGTTCCACATGACAGTCTCATAAGCAAATGAGGGAAATGTGGTCTAGATGAAATTATTATACAGTGGGTGCCCAACAGGTTGAAAAAACATACTCAAAGAATAGTTATCTGTAGTTCACTGTCAAATTGGGAAGACATATCAAGTGGGGTCTCACAGCAGTCACTCCTGGGTCTGGTACTATTAAACATTGTCATTAATTTCACTGAATGTAGAGAGTACACTTGAAAAATGTACAGACAACACCAAGCTTAGAGAGGTTGCAAGCACTTTGGAAGGTCAGACTGGAATTTTAATTTATCTTGATTACATTGGAGAATTGGTCAGAAATGAAAAAGATGAAATTCAATATAGACAAGGGCAAAGCACTGCAGTTAGAAAGGAAAAATCAAATGCACAAAAGCAAAATGGAAAATAAATGGCGAGGCAGTAGTACTGCAGAAAAAAGAGCTGGGGGTTATAGCAGATCACAAACTGAATATGGGCCAAGAATGTGATGCTGCTGCAAAAAAAGCAAATATCATTCTGGGGTGTATAAACAGTTGTGTCATATCTAGAGCAAGGGAGACAACTGTCTCGCTCTAGTTGGCACTGGTGCAGACTCAGCTGGAGTACTGAGTCCAGTTTTGGACACCACACTTGTTGTGGAAGTTGTGGAAAAAAGGGAGAGTCCAAAGGAGCACAACAAAAATAAGAGGTTTAGAAAACATCACCTGCAAAGGAAGATTGAAAGAATTGGCCATGTTTATTCTTGACAAGAAAAACTGAGGGGGGGAGGGGGTTTGGTCATGATAGCAAATATGTAATTTTCAAATATGTAACAGATTGTTGTGATTAATTGTTCTCCATGTCCACCAACGGTAGAACAAGAAGTAATAGGGTTAATCTGAAGCAAGGGAGATTTAGGTTAGATATTAGGAAATACTTTCTAACTATAAGGATAGTTAAGCACTGGAACAGGTTATCTAGGAGGTTACAGAATCCCTGTCACTGAGCATTTTAAGAACAGGTTAGACAAACACCTATCAGAAATAGTCTAGGCATACTAATCATGTCTCAGCATCTGGGGATAGACAAGATGATCGCTCAGTGTCCCTTTCAGCCCCATAGTTCTATGATTCTATTAAAGCAGTTGATACCCTTTCAGTTTTAATCTCTGCCTGTCACTTGTAGAAATGATTTTCCATCATACAGATAGTGTAGTTTTCATCGGAAAATGCTCATGCATCTTTAAAATTAGAAAAACCAAGAAATCTCATGTTTACAAAGCACTTTCTGTTAAGTAAATGTATATCATTTCGAGCCAAACCTTCCCAAGGAGGGAGCCTCTCTGATCTGGCTACTTGATTGTGCTAGATTTTGTGTGTATATAATCACACTCATCAGAATAGCAGTGATATAATCACATGCTAAATCAACCTACCTTTCAGACACTGTGTGTGTTAACTGCCACCAGAGCAGCAAAAGTGCACATTTTTGACCTATAAAGGGATTGTGTGATGTTGCAAAAAACTTTCAGTGAGATTTAGGCTCCTAAGTACCTAAGTCACTTTTGAAAATGAGACTTAGCTGTCTACATTTCTTTGGCCTTGTAATGGTGAGTGGAGCAGTGCTTAAATACCTTTAAAAACTGGACTTAACTGACTAATGTTACCCAGGATGTCTGTACTAGAGCAAGAACTGAACCCATGTCTTCAACATCTCAACCTACAAGCTTAACCACAAGGGTCTAAAGTTAAGCACATACTTAACTCCTGTGCAGAACTGGGGCCCTCTTGTACACCAGTTGTAGGTTGCAAGGTTTATCAATTAAACCAATGGGCCAAATTTACCCTTGCATAATTCTGCATTGTCTTATACCCTGTGCAACTCTGTTATTTTCAGTGCACAGGTGTAGGTCAGCAGCAGGGTGTCCAGATGTCCCGATTTTAGAGGAACAGTCCCTGATATTCAGGGCTTTCTCTTATATAGGTGCCTATTCCCCCTACCCCATCTTAATTTTTCACATTTACTATCTGATCACCCTAGTCAGCATAGAATCAGAACAAATATGTTTTGTTTCAGCTTCTTGCAGTGTCATCCTCACACTGTCACAAATGGGAATTATATGAAAGCATTCTTTCCAATGCATGAAAACTTGGCACATGGGTGTTCTAGTGTACATGACAAATTGGGATAATTCCTATTCAATTTGGGCAACATTTGGCCATATTTCCTAACAGCATCCTAAATTAGCAGAGTACACAGGTAAAAGTGGCTCAACATGCCAACTATCAAGATAGCCCTTTTGAGTGTCACAGCTTGGTATGATTTCTGTATTTTCATGCTACAGTTCTGTTCTAAATCTTAAAAATATTTTTCCTTTTGAAGGTGCAAGTTGTAACATTAAAATATGTGTTAATATAGCTTTATAGTTCAGATCTGTATATAAAATAATTTGTCCTCTAATAAAATTATCTATTGTAATATGATGTTACTGTCATATTTTCTGACCTGACATCCCAAACTATCAATTTCAGAATGCTTGGATTAAAGCTGTGCATGACTCAGCACATTAGACAAAGCTGTGAACTGCAATATAAATAATGTGTGATTAAATAAAATGTATCACAATCAAATATGTGCATGGAAATAATCAACTCCAAAAGAGCTCCAGGTAGAAAAATACTGTTGACAATATTTAACAGTTTCCTAGATCTGTATTTTGTGGAGTTCCTAATGTGAATATATGACCCAGCATGTCTGCCTTGTGGACCAGTATTGCAAATCTTGGTTAGACATCATTTACACCAGTGGTTCTCAAAGCCGGTCCACCCCTTGTTCAGGGAAAGCCCCTGGCGCGCCGGACCAGTTTGTTTACCTGCTGCGTCCGCAGGTTCGGCCGATCGCGGCTCCCACTGGCCACAGTTCACTGCTCCAGGCCAATGGGCGCTGCGGGAAGCGGCGCGGGCCAAGGGACGTGCTGGCCACCCTTCCCGCAGTCTCCTTTGGCCTGGAGCGGCGAACCACGGCCAATGGGAGCCGCGATCGGCCGAACCTGCGGATGCGGCAGGTAAACAAACTGGTCTGGCATGCCAGGGGCTTTCCCTGAACAAGCGGTGGACCGGCTTTGAGAACCACTGATTTACAGAGCCATGCTGTATGTAAGTGTGATGCATGGCTAGAAAGGGTTAAACAGCCTGCAAAATAAATAATCCTCAAAATACAAGTGGGGAGATAATGTTTGTGGTTTTGTGTATTTACATATGTATGAGTAGGGTCAATGGTGTAATCAACAGTCCCTGTCTATGCTGTATTCTAATAATTCAGAGGTCAAAAGAACATCCTATCATTTAAATGAATTGTAAACACAGGATATCTCAGTATTCATCTCTCTTTGAAATGTACTGCGAATGGTGGAGGAACAAACAAATGGCCTTATGTTAATTCGTATAGCTAAGTACCGGTGTTGGACCTCCTTCAAAGTCACTCTAATTACCTGTTGTTCCCTGAGGAACTCCAACTTGTCAAAAGACATGAAATTGTATAAAAGATCCTTGGATCCTGATTCTGTCATCTCAGATCTGCTTAGGCTTCATCAAGGGAAGTTTGAGTCCCAAGACTGAGGTCCCAGTTATGCTGGTACGCCCTGAATATGAGATTTGGACATTGAACTATAACCTATGAACTATTTCTGAAAGAACTCTTTGCAACTACAAAGCTCACCATCTCTGCTACGAATCTGAACCTCAATGAATTGAACTCTAACACTGATCATTTAACCATACTCTCTCTTTTGTTTTATAATAAATTTTACTTTAGTTAATAAGAATTGGCTGTAGCGTTTACTTGGGTAAGATCTGACACATTCATTAACCTGGAAGGTAATGTGTCCAATCCTTTGGGATTGGTAGAACCTTTTCTTTTATATGATGAAATAAGATTAACAGAAATTTTCATCATATCTGACGTGGGTACCTGAATGGAGCCCTGAGGCTGGATCACTTTAAGGGAACTGTGTTGTTTGGACTTCTGAGTAACCAGTAAGGTAATAAAGAAGCTGTTTTATGCTGTCTTGGTAAATCTATGTATTGGAATATCCACCAGCTTTATGGGGACTATCTCCTCCATTCTTTGCAGTTCACCCTAATTGAGTGACCACAGCTGGCTCCCCACTAGGGCCCCAGTCACAGTAAGTAAGGTGTCCTTAATTGACACTCTGACATTATTTTATCCGTGTAAACGTGATATCACTCCCCCCAACCAATTTCCATTTTCTTTCTTTCTTCAGACTATAATGAAAAACAAACATTAGAACTGTCTTGGTTAGTCTCTAAGGTGCCACAAGTACTCCTTTTCTTTTTGCGAATACAGACTAACACGGCTGTTACTCTGATACCAATCTGTGGATACTATGGTGTGCTCTGTATGTCAACAATATGTCCAGTACTAAATATGAATCAAAATACTGATAAGTTTCTGTGGAAGAGTGCAAGGAGGGAGCAAACAAAAAAGGGTCTCAAATCCCAAAGTCAGAGAGAGAAAGCTATTAAACTAGGGAGTCAAAGTGAATAGGGAGATCTGGAACCAGAGAAAGGAAAAGGGTTTGGAGGCACCCACGTCCTATCGCCAGTCTAGCCACGTCCCATTAAGGAACCGGGATAAGACCAATATTTTCACTAGAGAAATTATCTGTAACCAATTCAGCCTCAAGTCTACAATTCTTTTCTATAGTTATTTGCATCTTTAAAGTCACAAGTATCAAAGATAAAAATGTTGAAGGTTAGCCCATCATAAAAGTTTACATGCTATTATTGATTTTAGAACACATTATATAGAAGGAAATATAGTAAATTTATTGTTGTAGTGGAAAGCTTTTTAGTCAATAAATATATTGTTTTTTGGTAGCTGGAAATTGATTGGTTTACTTCTAAAACTAACTCCTGGCCCATCCAACCCCCCACGTTCCTTGACACACCCCGCCCCGGGACCCCTGTCCCATTCACCCCCCTCCCCTGTCTGCCCACAGAACCGGGCAGAAGAGTCTCGTGGGCTGCCATAGTGGCTGCCCACCCCACCCTGCCCCTAGGAGCCAGAGGGACCTGCCAGGGGGCGAGGTGGGGAGTCCCGGCAGTGCTTACCTGGGGCGGCTCCCAGGGCTCCTAGGGGAGTGGTAGCATAGCTGGGGGGGAGCAGGGGGAACGGCCGCTCCCCCCACTGATCACTTGAAAAGTGGCGCCTTAGGCACCGACTCCGTGGGTGCTCCGGGGCTGGAGCATCCACGGGGAAAATTTGGTGGGTGCAGAGCACCCACTGGCAGCTCCCCGCCCCGCCCTGCACCCGGCCCCAGCTCACCTCCGCTCTGCCTCCTCCCCTGAATGCACCACCCTGCTTTGCTTCTCCGCCCCTCTCCCCCCCCGGTTTCCCGCGAATCAGCTGTTCGCACGGGAAACTTTGGAGTACTGAGAAGCAGGCGGCGGCTTCGTGCTCAGGCCAGAGAGGTGGAGGCGAGCTGGAGCGGGGAGCGGTTCCCCTGCGTGCCCCCCCACCCGGGTTACCTGCTGTGGCACGGGCGGCCCCCCCTGCCCCAGCTCCCCTCCGCTCCGCCTCCTTGGGCCTGAGCGCAAAGCCACCGCTTGCTTCTCAGCCCTCCCAGGCTTCCCGCGCAAATAGCTGATTTGAGGGAAACCGGGAGGGGGCGGAGAAGCAGAGCGGGGCGGTGCATTCAGGGTAAGAGGCGGAGCGGAGGTGAGCTGGGGCCGGGTGCAGGGTGGGGTGGGGAGCTGCCAGTGGGTGATCTGCACCCACCAAATTTTCCCCGTGGATGCTTCAGCCCCGGAGCACCCACGGAGTTGGTGCCTAAGGAGCCACTTTTGGCCAGTTGTTATATTTAGAAGCCCTTTTAGTACCAGTTGTCCCTCTACACTTAGAATAGTAGATACCATGATACTGCGGTCACTTTGGAAGGACAAATATTGAGCTCTTAATGTCAGCCACTGTAGATTTATTTTCCCAGACCACAGAACAACCCTAGATTTGTATTGTTAATTAATTTAATTAAATATACATTATTTATTTTATTAATAAATTTGTGTTTCATCTGGATTAATTTGGCAAGCTCAAGCTGACACAGTACTTGTAAAGATGCCTGACCATGTCAAAACAATCTTTCCTTGGTCCAAGGAAAGCAGCTGATAGACTGGTGCTGCTGGTTCACAGAATTAAGAAATGAGTTTGCAAAATTCATAACTGATTAGCACTAACCAAAGCTTCACAAAATAACTATAAGTTTGATGAATGTGAATTAGTTTAATTTGTTTGTGTTAGCCAATAAGGATACATGATCAGCCCTACCCTACCCATATACTGCCTACAAAAGCCCTTAAACAGAAAGAATATATGGCTTTCAAGAACACTATATCCAATTTCCACTTTCTGGATCAGAACTTCCTATTTAGCACAGAGACAAGGAATTGAGTCAGATTCCACAGGGACCCAACAATGTAATGGTTCTAGCCCAGAATAAAGGTACAAATTAAAGTTAAACAAAGGGTGGAAGGGTTTGAAATGAATGAAAACTATGCAGCTATGGAATGTGGGCCATTGTGACCACAGGTTGGAATTCAAATAACTATTTTAGGCCTGATTCGGTAGCCTTTAATGGCATCTGTTTTCCCAGTCTGTACATTTTGAAGGATCTGGCCCTTAATGTCCACCATGAATAAAAGTTCTTGTTTGTTTTCAATTCTCTAGAACCGTCTCATTTTTTGTTCAGCAAATATGGACAGACTCTTTTTCAACTCAGCTGAGCATTCAGCCGTACCAGGGAGTGGATTAATAAGCTATTGTTGCATATCTTGAAGGAAGGCCCCAGCTCATGTATCTAAGACATGAATCAACAGACAAGTAATATGCAACTTGATGTGGTTTCCTTTTTATGTGAAAGGTATTAAGAAAAAGTGAAGCAAATTTATATCCTAGCATAATATGTTCTTCTAACATCTAGATTAGCTCCTTTTTGTCTCATATTATACACTGTATGATTAAAGTTATTCATTACCTATAGAACCACCATTGCATTCCCATAATATTTTGTTCTGGCAAAGACCAGTCATGATCAAACTACCTAGGAAGTAGTGATCTAATGAAAAAGGACTTGATGCTCAATTATGCTAAGTCCCCATTAAACTGCTTTAGTCCTTAAAGTGAGTGTACATTAAATTTATGTCCATTTTAATGCCCCTTTACACTGTCTGAATGATGTAAAGAGGCCTAGTCTGACTAAGAATCAGGCCCTAACTATTTCACATACCATAATTTGCCCACGAAAATAACAAGTGAGAGGACCTTGCTTAGCAAATATTTAAGTTAATATAAAACAGTCACGTGAACAGGGAAATTCTACCACAAAACACAAGGCCAAAGAAGCTTATCAGGTTAATGTATTGCTTCCTTCAGCAGATCTGGCTCTCTAAAATAAAGATGGGGGTGCTTTCTTCTCATAAACACTTGCCAAAATTAAGATAAATTTGAGATCCTGGAGAAATGTATCGGGTTTTTACAATGAAATCAGCAAGGCAAGTTAGTAAACACTGACCCTTACCTCCACCATTTTTCTGACACAGGTATGGGAATCGCCACACATTTCCCAACCCTACAGAAAATCCAACTTGTGCCAGAATATACTGAAGTTTGCTGTTCCAAGCTGGTCTTTCATCTTCTATGTCTGACCCCTCTTCAACATCTACATCTTTATTTTCTTGATCATCAACCAGCAGTTCACTCTTCTTAAAGGCATCATCTGCAGAGTCTTCATTAGAGAGAAGATCCTTAACTGACTCAATGACTTCATCATCTATTTCTCTTTTTACCACCTTGCTGTTCTTAGGCATTTGCAATAAGGAAAAGCTGTAAGTGGGTCAGGTTCAGTTCAGGCAAGCTGACAGGCCTCAAAGAAAGCTTTCCTTTGGCTAAACCAAAAATGTTGGTAATTCACTGAACAGTTAGACTGAAGAGGATGTCAGATTAGTCCTTCATACAGAGTGTTCAGAAGAAAGAAGATTTCTGGTTCTAAATGTTTGAACTATATATATCTGTGAAATTAAAAAAAGAATACATAATTAAATTATACAAGAAAATGTAATTAGGAAAGTTATTTGCCCATTTATCTATTTCAGTTTATTTTCACATTAGGTTACAAGAAAACTTCTAACTCATCTTTTAGATGGTTGTTTTAATTTGCTTGTAGACTACATTGAAAGTCATATTCCTCTCCTTATAAATAAAATGTCAGAGAGACACCATCAATATGTGGAGGTCCAAATTCTGATTTACACTAAATTATGATAATCCACTTAACTCTACCTTTCAGATTTCAAGCATCTATTTAAAATATGCTTTACTCAACTGCTAAGAACTACTGTGTGTGCGATGAGTCTAGTGGCCTGCTAGGCAAGGCTGAGAGCTTCTTAATGAGGCTTTGATTCCCTAAGCCCTTTAGCACCCATCAACCCTTGAGATGATGGTGTAGAGAGGAGGGGTTTAGATTTATTAGGAACTGGGAAGACTTTTGGGAAAGGGGAGCCTATACAGGAAGGATGGGCTCCACCTAAACCAAAACAGAACCATATTGCTGGCACTTAAAATTAAAAAGGTCGTTGAGCAGTTTTTAAACTAAGGACTGGGGGGAGAGCTGACAGGTGTGGAGGAGCACATGGTTCGGACAGCAACATCCCTTAGGGGAGGATCTATTAATGGAGATGCTGTATGTCCTAGTAAGGAGGAGAGGAAGAAAGATGATAAAATACAGGCAGGATCTGATGAAAAACAGATTTAAAAAGTCCCATTCAATTACATCATGGCAGACAGCTAAAAAGTGGCAAGTTTTTGAAGTGCTTATATACCAATGCTAGAAGTCTAAATAATAAGATGGGTAAACTAGAGTGCCTCATATTAAATGAGTATATTGATATAATAGGCATCACAGAAACTTGGTGGTATGAGGATAATCAATGGACACAGTGGCCATTCTTATGTTCTTAAGAAGTCTTTACAAACCAGCATGCCAACTGCTAATATTTTGATGTAGTCATACCTACATATATTGTACCATTGGGTACATGTGTAAAATAAAATTAAAAATCTCAGTTCAGAATTTCTATTTGACTTGTGGCTAAAAACTTGAAATTATTTTTTAATTTTTTTCTGGAATTTATTTATTAAGAATCTTTAAAAGGGGCAGCCTAAATGTTCGGAAATTGTTTCCTGAAACTCAGATGTCAGTAAGATTTTCAAATTTAATATACAGAGAAGTGCTGTTGCTTTAACAGTGTGGACAGCCTATATTGTGTGCATGACTATATAGCACGAGAAATGTAAGAGCCCCCAAACACATTTTCAAGGTAGGGCTTTCCATTTCTTAGGAGTGAGATGAAATGGTGCTTTAGATACAATTATTGTGGAAAAAGAGGATATCTGAACATAGGCTGAAATGTCTGACAACCTGTGTTTTTAAAAACCCTTCCCTTTTGAACATATATATATATATATTAGCACAGACATAAAAAGTGTATATAATTATGCTTTCTTTTAACACAATAAGTCATTTTAAAAGACACTTGGGCTTGCTTGCAACTGCTCATAAAGTATTGTAGATATATCTGAGTGGCTATCCGATTTCTGGGGAAGTGCTTTGGAAGGAATTTTTCATCCTCTCAGAGGGCGAAGTTCAGTCTACTGCAGAGGACTGGTATGAAGCCATCTGGACAGTTTAAACCCCTGACAGAGGTCTTACAATTCAGGCTTAAGTGATGTGGAGAGCTTAGTGCAGGCCCTCTGAAGTAAGTAAATGTACCCCAAACGCCTAATCTTGAAGTCCCAATTGATGTTTTATATGATGCATGAAAACTCCTCTAGCCTTTAGACTTCTAAGTTTCTGTAGCAGCATCTGGCCTCTAGTGGTAGGGCTACACAGTAGTGGTAGTGCTCTGCCAAACCCCTGGACAGTTTGAGATCTGCAGGGTGGTTTTAAGAATTTCAAACTAATTATAGAGGGGCAGATTATCTGTACAGAGGTCAGCAAGGCTATTTTCCAGGTCTTAATGCCAGATGACAGCCATGAAGGGAGTTATTTTGCCCCAGTCCTCATCCTGCAGCTAATCAAGGGGAGTGTTTGCAGAAACAGAGCTGGATTCACTGTCATTGTAAGTGCTATCATCTTGAGTGGGGAAAGCCTGCAAGATTAGAGGGAGATAATGCCATGGAAAGTGGTATGACCCAGGTGTCTCACCTCCTGCCCATCAGAAATTTGCCATCCCTCTTCATCCATGGAATCCAAAATGTAGGAGGGCTCCTGAATGCTTCAGGAGAGGAGGGATGAGCACATTAGCACATATCTCCACCACATCTTCCATGAGTCATGCCTGTTTGTGATTGTTACTTACACAGATTCCCTTCCTCTAATATGGTCATCCTGACTGGACAATTGGATCTTTTTTTTTTAAGAACAAGTTCCCATGTAGACAAAGAAAGTTTTTTTTCCAAATAACAACTAAATAATATTAGACGCAATACACTTATAACTGTACTTGCCATGTTAGTATAAAGGCAACACACAACACCATTCACTCTAACTGACAATGCATATAGGTTTGTGAATGCAAAAGGGTGGGCCAAGGGAAATAAATGCAGCAATAGAAATCCAGAGCTCACTTCAGCAGCTTTAGAAAATGCAGTTTCTCAGTGAAGCTAGGTCAATGTGTGCACTGCCTACTTTGCTACCTGAGATGAACCTACTGCTCTGAAACGGATGTTGACTCTTAAAGAGGTAAAACAAGAATGGGTCGTACAGATCTGTTTGTTACCATGGTACAAAGCAGCATTGCCAATGATGTGCACATATCTATTTTTATCATAGATTATGTAATAAAGCCCATGCATTGGAAGAGAAATAAACAAAACCTATTTGTATGCTTGCCTTGATAGAAAAACATAAAATAAACACTTGTTAAGTAGAAAAAGGGAAAATCAAGAGTATCTGTTTTCAAGTCTCTAGAGGATACTGTAGACTATAAATTGGCCTCAGAAAGCCCTTTTAAATTAGCATTAATGACTACATTACTCTATATTCCAAGATTCACATCCTGACCAGACTCCCATGCACAAAACAAAAGTTTTCCACTCCTATTTTGGCTTCCCTAAAAGTGGCAGCAAGGTTGCTCCGCAGGCCTTCTGGGTCACATGCCCCAGAGGAGCATTCTGAAGCAGGGTCTTGAAGATACCATTGGTGCATGTATGCCTCCAGGCCTGAAATTGGCTCCCATGCACAATCCACATTACCCCTTTAATTTCTACTTTGGCAGAATAATCTGCAAATGGGTGACAAAAGCTGTTCATGGGGTGACCGCTGAGTAGAATGTTTTCCACACTTTAATACTGTTTGTGCAGCGTACTGTACATGTGCATCAGTTAGGGGGCATTCTGGCATGTGTTGAACTAGAAATGGGGCCTACAAAGGCACCAGTTCCGAAAAGTCTAGCAGCGGAACACAGCAGAGATTGGTGGGAGAGTGGGGGCGTTATATAAAGGAAAAAGTGACGAGAAATAGTTTCATACTTTTTGTTGTTTATCTCTGTATGTTTACCTTGCCTTTTAGGGAGAGGGTGTGTCTTCTATTCCAGCGGTTCTCAAACTTTAGCAACCCGAAGACCCCCATTTTGATTTTAAAAAATGTCACAGACTCCCAAGCATCCTGCTCAGCCCCAGGCCCTGCCCCCCACTCCACCCCACCCCTTCCCCAAGGCCCCACCCCACCCCACTTCTTCCCATCCCTGATCCACCTCTCCCCCTCCTCTTCCGCACCCCTTTCCATCCCCTCCCACAAGCGCACCTCGTCCCCCCTCCTCCCCCTCCCTCCCAGTGCCTCCTGCATGCTGGGGAACAGCTGTTCAGCAAAGCAGGAGGCAATGGGAGGTAGGGGGAAGAGTTGATCAATGGGGCCGGCAGCACCCGAAAATTATTCCACTCCCTCCTCCAAGCACGTTCTGTCCCCACTCCTTCTCCTCCCTCCCAGCACCTTCTGCACACTGCTGAACTGCTGTTTTCCAGCATGCAGAAGGTGCTTAGGAGGAAGGGGGAGGAGTTGATCAGCGGGGCCCATGGGGCCCCTGGAGTACCCTCACAGACCCTTAGGTATCCACCGACCCCAGTTTGAGAAATGCTGTTCTATTCTATTGTGTGTACAGTGCCTAGCACAATGCGGTCCCAACCCTGACTGGAATCTTTAGGCGCTCTCAGCATATAAATAATAATATTTTAAATACATGAGTCGTTCCATTGAAGTCACAACCGTAATCCTTAGAGACATAGGTGTTTCCACTGATTTTTCAGTAGTATACCCTTGAACTATATTTTAAGCTTCCAGAGAATGAAACAGACTTCTTAAACAAGACTTTCAAGATCTTCTGTACTTTCCACAGTATGCATCCGATGAAGTGAGCTGTAGTTCACGAAAGCTTATGCTCAAATAAATTGGTTAGTCTCTAAGGTGCCACAAGTACTCCTTTTCTTTTTGCGAATACAGACTAACACAGCTGTTACTCTGAAACCTGTCTGTCATAAATATAAAGGGAAGGGTAAACCCCTTTGAAATCCCTCCTGGCCAGGGGAAAGCTCCTCTCACCTGCAAAGGGTTAAGAAGCTAAAGGTAACCTCGCTGGCACCTGACCAAAATATGGTCAATATGACCAATGAGGAGACAAGATACTTTCAAAAGCTGGGAGGAGGGAGAGAAACAAAGGGTCTGTGTGTCTGTCTATATGTTGGTTTCTGCCAGGGATAGACCAGGAATGGAGTCTTAGAACTTTTAGTAAGTAATCTAGCTAGGTATGTGTTAGATTATGATTTCTTTAAATGGCTGAGAAAAGAATTGTGCTGAATAGAATAACTATTTCTGTCTGTGTATCTTTTTTGTAACTTAAGGTTTTGCCTAGAGGGATTCTCTATGTTTTTGAATCTAATTACCCTGTAAGATATCTACCATCCTGATTTTACAGGGGGGATTTCTTTATTTCTATTTACTTCTATTTTTATTAAA